GGACCGGACAACCATTTGTCTAAAATGGTATATAGCCTCCTGCTTGAGCAGGGGGTTGGACTAGAAGACCTCCAGGGTCCCTCCCAACCCTGTTATTCTGTTCTGATCTAAACAGTGTTTTGAAAAGGAGCTCGGAGCTGTGGGATTATCCTCTTCAATATCATTGTGAATGCTGCCTTATTCCCAATGTCGGTACAGATAGAGATTTTTTTTTCCTTCTCAAAAGCAGAGAAAGGATGAGAAAACTAAGTTGCAAACATACTGAATAAAGAAAGATTGTTGGCCAGCCTGCAAGGCATCAACTTTCTTTTACCCAAGTTCCACTTCAAAGTTACAATCTGTAGACTCCATTCAGTCTCTGATTCATTTTTAAGAGCTGTCAAAGTGAAGAACTACAGTTCATAATTTCACTGCGTTTCCTTATTTAGAATCCCCTCACATATCCACTCTAAACTTCTCCTTTTTTAAAAAAAATAGAACCTATGAAAGTAAATCAAAAGGAAAACGAATCATATTATTAGTGTAAAGATAATCAGACTGTATAAAAAAAAAGAAAGTTCTTCAGTTCAGAAGGAATCTTTGCCTTCGTTCAGGGATTTCTTTATAGAGACACAAAGTCAAATTAACTGGCTAAAACACCATGTTCTACATTGCATTGAAGTTCTGGCTATTAAACAGATTCTCCTTTACTGAGACCGTCCCTTTCTACACACAAGGTAGCTGCTTTTGGATGTTTCTAATATTTCTAATAATATTTTTTAAACCATATTTTCTATTTCTAATTACATTTTTAAATGATATCTTTTAACTGTAGTTTCTGCTGAACTCTTTTTACAGTACAGGTAGACCTCGACTTATGACCACAGTGGAGCCCAAAATTTATGTTGCTAAGTGAGACAGTTGGTAAGTGAATTTTTGCTCCTTTTTACGATCTTTCTTGCCAAAGTTGTTAAATGAATCATTGCAGTGGTTAATGGCAGTTGTCAGAAAGTCACAAAAGGTGATCACACGACCGCGGGACACTGCAACCGTCGTAAGTACATGTCAGTTGCCAAGCATCTGAATTTCAATCACATGAACATGAATTGCTGCAATGGTTCTAAGTGTGAAAAACGGTCGTAAGTCACTTTTTTCAGTGCTGCTGTAACTTTGAAAGGTCACTAAACAAACTGTTATAAGTCGAGGACCACTTGTATCTTATTGTATTGTACTGTATTGCATTGCATTGCATTGCATTATATTTATATTTTATTATCTTTGTAAGCCACTCAGAGTCACTGAGGGTGAATTGGGCGGCCATATAAATTTTCTTAAGTAAATAAATAACATTTATTTTTGATGCTATTTCACAATTATTTTAATGGACAGTTCAGAAATACACTAAAATTAGAGGGAAATATTGTGATGTCACCATTCTGCCAATTTGACCTTCAGCTACAAGCCAAAGACAGGAAATATAAATATAAGTATAAATGAAAATATAGCTGTGTGAGTTGATGGCAGACCAATGAATAAGAGCTACATGGTAAAAAAAAATGGCACAATTATCATAATGGTAACAATTTCTATCCCTACCTTTTCATACCAAATCATGACCATAGAAATCAATTCAGCATGTTAAGCACATTTAGCAGCTGACTATTGGAGGATCTAAAGAACCAGGTTGATTGTCCCAAAGATGCTTTTCAAGAGGCAACTGGACTTTCCTTGTTTTTCCTTGAAGACATTTCTCTTCTTATCCAAGAAGCTTCTTCAGTTCTGATTGACTTCCATTCTCCACCATTCAGTCAGAACTGAAGAAGCTTTTTGGATGAGAAGTGCAGTGTCTTCTTGAAATAGCATCTTTGGGCCAACCATCACCTGGATGACTGAGAATCTCCATAGACATTTATCTGGTTGCTAAGAAGTTGTTACTAACCTGATGGGCACATAATCAATCAATCAATCAATTTAGCCACTGTAGGGCGCTTTTAGGCTATTTACGATTATGTTCACCTCTAACTAAGAACTTTGCATCCAAGGATATTCCCTGAAATATGCCAAATTGGATTGATTGGGATCCACATCTGAGTTGTAGGTTTGCTTAAGTCAACTGCAGTGCTTGAGTTATGGGTTGTATACCACCTCTGTAATATTACTTGACTTTGTGTAGCATAGGATTTATGACTCTGAGCTACATAGCAGAAACTAGGAGACTTCCACTTCTTTCGTACCATGGATTCACCGATCTGAGGAGGTTCATCAGATATGAATTAGGAAGCCATGGATGAACTCTACAACTGTTCACCTCCTTCTCTTGCTGTTCTTTGATTGTGTGTTGATTTCCAGTGTTACCTTTTGAACTCCGGTAAGTTAAAGCATTCTATTACATTAGAATGGCACCACTTTGACTCAACATCCAGAGGGAAGAAAAGTCAAATCCTAAGATTGATTGCTAAGGATTTCATAACAGACCTCTGGAGTTCTCCAGGAAGGAATATGAAGGTCCACATTTGGGACACAGAGGACCACTGGTTTGAAAGAGAGGTCAAAGAGGCCATCTCTGTCAAAACTGAACAGCCCTCTCTCAACAGAGGGGGAGGGATACGACATCACCTATCTCCAGTCTACAACACAGTCCTTTCAACTGTTCCAAGAAGGCTCCCCATCCATTTGCACTACTCAGGTGACCCTGATGACACAGATAAGCCTCCAAGTGACATCAATGACCCTCTAAAACAGTGGTTCTCAACCTGTGGGTCAGGACCCCATTTGGGGTCAAACGACCATTTCACGGGGGTCGCCAAACAACGCAGTCCGCCATTTTTTTCCCCTTTTCCTTAGCTGTGCTACTCCTTTTTATTCTATTGGCTTTTGAAAGCCAATAGAATAGACTCTCTTGAATAGAGTCTAATTCTATTGGCTTTCAAAAGCCAATAGGAATTGTCCAGGCTGTCTCTGCCCTGCTGAGCCTGCCAAAAGTCCCATTCTGCAAACGGTGCTGCACCAATTGAGTAGTCCTCGACTTATGACTGGTTGAGTAGTCCTCGACTTATGACCGGTTGGGGGGTCGCAGCATTAAAAAGGTTGAGAACCACTGCTCTAAAAGAAGGCAAATGACCAGCTATCCGCAAGGAATATAAATCCTTTCATTCCCCACCATCCAGTCAGAGCTGAAGAAGCTTCTTAGATGAGAAGCGAAACGTCTTCAGAGAAAAAAAAAGGGGGGGGTTACTGCTATTTTCCAGAATATTTTTTCCCCAACTTCCTTCTAACTTACAATTGAAGGATTTCTCGATAATCTCCCATTCCTCTACTAACCAGGTCGAACCTTGTTTAAATTTGTGATGGTTTTCTAGGTTCTTTTATCTAACATATATATATATATATATATATATATATATATATATATATCTCTATATATATATATATATATATATATAATATATATATATATATATATATTATAATGTTTTCTGAGGTTTTCGCGGGTATTTGTATATAGGTCTTTGGTTGTTCGGGTTTTCTCCCGCGTCAATTGGAAGTGTCTTGCAACGTTTCGACGAAGTCACTTCTCATCTTCAGGCTGGTGTTTTTTAGTGCTTCTTGCTTTGAGCAAGCAATGTGGTGGTTTTAGCTGTTTCTCTTCATACCCTCACTGCAGTTAAAAGAAAACAGCTAAAACCACACATTGCTGCTCAAAGCAAGAAGCTAAAAACACCAGCCTGAAGATGACGAATGTGACTTCGTCGAAACGTTGCCAAGACACTTCCAATTTTACGTGAGGAACAACCAAAGACCTATATATATATATATCAAATCCTGACGAATGGCAGAACCCGAAAGACCTACTGGTGATACTGAAATGTATGTATCGCTATTATCTATATATATATATATATATATATATATATATATATATATATATATATATATATATATATATGTCTGTTGTCAATTTGTTGGGAAATTGTGATCTTGCTTTCATTGTTATCACTCAAGGTCACATTCTACAAGATGGGTGGTCAAATCCCTAACTCATGCTTTCAGCCAATTGAATGTATATATTTATTGAACATTTTTCACGTACATTATTTCATTCACCTGTCATGTACAAGAAGAATATTTTACAGAGGTGAGGAATCAGTCATCCTTTGCATGTTATTTGAACTCCAGCTCTGTGAAGGTCCAGGATGATTATTAATGATAACATTTGTAATACGTCATTGAAAAAACTCAGGTCCCTCCCTTTAGTGTAAATTGCAAGATAAGATATGCTAAGATATAAGAATTTATCTGTAAGATTCCTGGATAGACATTACTAGATATAATATCTTCCTTCACCATCTTAATCCTTCTAATTCAATCAAGAGTCCTCTAAATCAGATAAAAGGACATCTAAGTCAAAGGTTTTGTTCCTGTTCCATACACTTCTCTGTCCAAAAAGCCTAAATAAAAGGGCAGGAAAACTATAGTCACTCTGTCTTGATAGATAGCCATTCTAATTGTCCTTCCCACCCCTACATCTGTTTCCATAACTGGAGTTTACATTCTACTATTAAGGATGGGGTGGAATGGGATGGGATGGGATGGGATGGGAGGAGAGGAGAGTGGAAAGGAAAGAAAAGGAAAGGAAAGGAGAGGAGAGGAGAGGAGAGGAAAGGAGAGAGGAAAGGAAAGGAAAGGAAAGGAGAAAGGAGAGGAGAGGAGAGGAGAGGAAAGGAAACAAAAGGAAAGGAAGGGAAAGGAAAGGAGAGGAGAGGAGAGGAGAGGAGAGGAAAGGAAAGGAAAGGAAGGGGAAGGAAAGGAAAGGAAAGGAAAGGAAGGGAAAGGAAAGGAAAGGAAAGGAAAGGAAAGGAAAGGAAAGGAAAGGAAAGGAAAGGAAAGGAAAGGAGAAAAGGAAAGGTCCTGGCATTGTCTTATGGGCCAAACTTATTTACATGGAACATAACAACAATTGCCATCAAAATTAATCTACAAGCACTTCCCGTTAACCCTCCGTGCCTTCATTGATCATTTACCTAAAACCCAGGGGAGGATCATCCATTCCACCACAGTAGGAGGAGGTCCTTGCATGTGTAGATCTGTCCTGACAATGTGCTGGGATGCGAGCAGTAGCATGAAGAGGAAGGTAAGGTAGGAGCCCGTGTGGCAGATAAACTTGATAAATGGCTTTTTAATGAACAGTCCCAGCCTGCTCTTGGGTGCCATCAAATAGGCCACGGAAAGCACTGGAAACAGCAGTCCGATAGTGACACAGGTCAAAAGTTTGACCGCCCAATGCTTCCGCCGCCATCCGGGGAAGCCGTCGTACCAAAGTGTTGCTAGTAGTTGCTGGCAGTTGGGCTGAGCAACAAACTGGAGTAAGAGAGGGAGGGAGGGAGAGAGAGAGAGAGAGAGAGAGAGAGAGAGGGAGGGAGAGAGAGAGAGAAGGAAATGTGGAGAGGGAGAAAAAAAGGAGAAGTGGAGATGAGTACAATTGCAACAAGTGAGAGTCATGGCAATTGGAAGAACAAAAGAAGCGATTTGCTGTATTTATCCTAGAGGAGGAGGAAGTGAACCAATCTATGGTCCAGGAAAAATATGGCACCTCCAAGCTGTTTTGCAGCCTGCAGCCTATTTATTTATTTAGTGCAAGGGTGGGGAACGATGGCCCCTTTACATCCAGTGGACGTGGCTGGCTCAGGAATTCTGGGAGTTGAAGTCCACAGTCATAAAGGAGCCATCGTTCCCCACCCCTGATTTAGCGTATGGCATATCATACATGGACTAGCAATATGTATACTAACATTTCACCTAGATCAGTAAAATACAATACAATATAACTGTTAAAAATATCTATGCTCAAATAGCAATGTCCGTGCCGTCTAACCGTTGAAGCACAGCAGTGTCTATATTTAAAAAAAATCAGATCTTGGAGTGATACATATCCTCAGCTCACAGTCGGTCATGATGTGATCTACAGTTTGAGGTGGAATCCTGCAATCACATTGCGGGGAGGATGCTATGCCCCATTTATACAAAGAATCCCAATAGACGCTGTGTGAGGTGCAAATCCTATTGTAAGGACCCACCCCACTTTGCATCTTAAGAAGACAGAACTCTTGGAATAATTCTTCCAACAGGAATCCTTTATTAAGAAGAAGTGGTTGCAGGTGTGCTAGACAGGACTTGGGGTCCAAGCCCTCCCATTCAAGGTTTTAAGGGGTTCCCCAGTAGTCCCACCCAATCAACCCCCCTTCCAGTGATAGTTTCAGGTATCACAATTCCACCCCCTTTTTTCTTTCTTCCGTCTGGATGGAGACTTCAGATAACTACATGAAAGGCAAATACCCTTCTTTGTTATGGTAAGGTTCTTTGGTGCTAATGCTTTGAGGTTACAATAAACACACATTCAGCATTCAGCTCCTTGAAGTATACTGAAGGAAGTGAGGGCCATAAAGCCCCTTTGTTCTCCCCCTTCTCTCCCTCTTATGGCAGAATCCAGAGAAGGCAGAATTGGGAGTTTCTATATTTGATAATTAAAGATGAAATATAATTGGATTCTGACACCTATTCAGGATTGTCGATTGCTGACGTGGCAGTTCAAAGCCTGGTGACTTTTTTTGTGGTGTCCTGTATATGTTTTCCTATGTCTGGGCATTCAGTGACCCATCTGGCTTTCCAGATTTCCCCTGGATCTTTTGCACTAACCATCACAAAAATTGGGGGGCAAATAACTACAACAAGGAGCAAGACGCTTCAGCTAAAACACCTAAACTTGACATCCCAGGAGTTTTCATTACTCAGCGTGCTTTTCTTATAAGCACTGCTGGGGTTTACATTTCCTAAACTGCAAACTTTTTATTTCTCAGTGCAATCATTCTGTAAGACACACATTTTTGTTGGTACTGGTTTTTGCTGCTGTTGTTTGGGAACAGATTAAAATTTAGCCTGTTTATGTTCATTGGACTTTATTTGCTGATTTATTTGCATTATTCAAATAAATGCATTTACTTGCATTATTTGTGTTATTAAGTCCACACCCCGCCTTTTTGCTTATCAAAACCCTCTAAAAATTGCCATGGCACAAATTTTTCATTCTTGCCTATGGTCACAGAAAGTGGGTCACAGCCTAAGCCAGCGGTTCTCAACCTTTCTAATGCCGCGACCCCATAATACAGTCCCCCATGTTGTGGTGACCCCCAACCACTTATACATCACCGGGTGCCAGGGCCGTGGCCAAAGAAAAGGGGGGAAAATGGCAGACAGCCTTGCTTGGCGACCCCCGTGAAATGGTCGTTCGACCCCAAATGGGGTCCCGACCCACAGGTTGAGAACCACTGGTCTAAACTCAATCTCACTGGGACCCACTTCCACCAGTGAATTTAAATTTAAAAACTCTCCCTTTTCCAGCTATAATACATGTCAGTACAGTAGTGTGCTGCAGCTGCCAAAAAAAGCCAATGCAGTCCTAGAGTGCATTAAGAGAGAGATAGAATCACAATCGCATGAAATGTTAATACCAATTTATGATGCCTTGGTAAAACCACACTTGGAACACTGCATCCAGTTTTGGTCACCACCGTATAAAAAAAGATGTTGAGACTCTGGAAAGAGTGTAGAGAAGAGCAACAAAGATGATTAGGCAGCTGGAGGCTAAAACATAGGAAGAATGGTTGCAGGAATTGGATATGTCTAGTCTAACAAAGAGAAGGACTAAGGGTGACATGATAGCAGTGTTCCAATATTTGAGGGTCTGCCATGAAGAAGAGGAGGTCAACCTACTCTCCAAAGCACCTGAAGTCCAGACAAGAAGCAATGGATGGAAATTAATCAAAGAGAGAATCATCCTAGAACTAAGGAGAAATTTCCTAGCAGTGAGATTTCCTGATAATTAGAGCAATTAATCAGTGGAACAACTTGCCTTCAGAAGTTGTAAGTTTTTAAGAAGAGATTGGACAACTTTTTCTCTGAAATGGTATAAGGCAGTGATGGCGAACCTTTTAGAGACCGAGTGCCCAACCTGCAACCCAAAACCCACTTATGCATCGTCGGGTGCCGGGTGGGTGTGGCCCCTTGGCTGGGTGTGGCCCATTGGCTGGGTATGGCCAATTGGGGGGGGGGTGCACCATCGGGTGGGCATGGTTGCGGTGATAATGGCAGACTGGGTGGGACTAAAAAGTTCAATCCATCAATTCCAACTTTGCAAGATCTTTTTTTCCCCGCAAGAAGTTGAAATTGACTGATTGATTGAACCTTTTTTTTTTTTTTTTTTGGGACACGGCAGCGGAGGCCTAAAGCGAAAAGGTTTTATAAAACCCAGCTGAAAGCCTAGGACTGGGGCAACGGTGCACGTGCCCACAGAGAGGGCTGAGTGCCGCCTCTGGCACCCGTGCCATAGGTTCGCCACCACTGGTATAAGGTCTCCTTATGGACTAGAAGCCCCCAAGGTCCCTTCCAACTCTGTTATTCTGTTGTTCATTAATGTAACTGGCCATCCTGCTCTCAGTCCAGCACCATGGGTAAGAACCGTGGGAGAGCGGGCAGAGATTTCCACCTTTCTGTCAGAAGACATGTTCATTTTTCTCCTACGATTCCAGCTAGGTCTGTGCCCAGTGAAATGATTTCATTCCGCAAATCTGCCATTGCTATTAAAAATTAAGAGGGTTCATATTTCCTTCAAGAGGTTCTTTCAAGGAGAGAAAGGAAAGGGGAAGAATTCCATTAAAGAGGAGAAAGAGGAAAAAAAGAACTCCATTTGAAACAGGGATCAGCTCGAGGTTGCCTTGTAGCTGGCAGGAGGGAGTGAATTGATGAACTGCTAACTTCCATCCTGAATCTAATTGTGGATCAAGCAGAAGGCCTTGGACAAATGTTTTTGTTTACAGTTCCTAAAACCCCGTCTTGCTTTAGCCAAAAGGCAACAAGCAGAAAAGCAGAAGCTCAGCAAAGCTATTCATTTACTCAGATTTAGTTAAGTTTTCCACCTGGTCTCCTGCAGCCAGACAATTTCCCAGAATAATTGATCTACAAGGAACAGGGTTTAGGAAGAAAAAGAAAATATAAGCCAGGCATGATTGCTTAGAAATTTGTGATGTCTTCAGTATCTGGTTATGGTAGAAATACAATCTATTCACAAGAAGTAGATTATTTGTGGGTCCTTGGTGCTCTCTGAGCTTGATTGATTTCTTGCAGACATTTCATTACCCATCTAAGTAACGTTACCGATGCTCAACCAAACAATAACATCAACAACACCGGTGCTCAGCCAAACAATCAAGATCAGAGAGCACCAAGGACCCACAGCTTAACCCTCAGCTACAAATATTCTCTTCTCTTGGTATCTGCATGAATTCTTTGCACTAAATACACAAAACTGCAGTTTTAACTACATTATATAAAGTGTTATCTTATTTGAGTAGTCCCAGGTATTTGTATCTTTCTATGGACAAAGATTTTATCACATTCCTGTTTTTAATGGTATACCTTACAGCTACTAATATTTACTAATTCTTTGCTTAGTATTTTTACTAATATTTTACTAATATTAATATTTGAGAGGCTCCTACAAAGCTGAGGGGGTCAAACTATTTTCCATTTGTAAATAGGTTTGTCTTTATTTGGATGATAGCAATAGCAATAGCACTTAGACTTATCTCCTGCTTCACAATGCTTTACAGCCCTCTCTACGTAGTTTACAGAGTCAGCCTATTGCCCCCAACACTCTGGGTCTTCATTTTACCGACCTCGGAAGGATGGAAGGCTGAGTCAACCTTGAACCAGTCAGCATCGAACTCCAGACTGTGGGCAGTCTGCACCTTTTGTCCCTTGTGAATTTCAGCATTTACCTTTTAGTTCAGATGCAAGTTATCAGGCTGAACATTGAACATCAAGTAATTGCTCTGTGATTGTTAGCAACTGTTTGTCTTTTATTATTGAAAATGTTTAACCAGTTATTATCCACTCTTCAACCTATCCAATTTGTAATCTTTAATTAAACCATATAACCAGTCTTCCACAGAGAATACTCAGGTGCTAAATCAAAATCCACAGACTAGTGCAATCCACTAGTTCTTATTCTTCTTTATTTGTTTTTTGAATCATTTTTTATGGTATGGCTGTATCATCCATTTTACTGAGGCAATGTACTTCTCAATATTTGATTTATTTTCCCTATTTATGATGTTCTTTGGGGTTATCTAAAATTATAATATTTCATTTTTATTACAGCAAGCATCTACATTCATAGTATTTCTTAGCAATACTTTATAAAGCAAATGATAGTTTATTTAAAACTGCAGGTTTTGCCCAAATTGCTTTATCCTTTCTTCATATAGTTCATTTTTCTTTGACATACTGTAGCTATAACTCATTGTTTTAATTCTTCTGTTATCTTACTGCCAAGTATATAGCTGTCCTATAAGCTTTCCTTGATCTTTCAAACTCT